TTGTAGACGGGATGAAAATCACTGGCTCCCTGCTTCGCAGCTCGTTGTCGCCGCTTCGCGGCGATTTTACAGAGAAAAAAATACGAGAAACCTCTGGGACCAGGGTACTGAAACCCTGCAAATCCCTCTATTCAAGGAAAACCCAGAAGAGGCACTCATCTTCATCCGTATGTCCTGTCCTAGTATTATGTGTGAAGAAGCTGAAAAGAACGGGTTGTGTGTGCTGTTGTTGCAACGCCGCCCCTCATCTTTCGTTGTGTATCTTTAACGCGACATCACGTGTAGGAAAAGTTGCTTGATGGCCATCTTATGTGCTTCGAGGRGTTTTCTCTGGGTTATCAGGGGTTTCCCATTGCAAAAATAATAAACAATTTGAAATTCCAGTTAAGTCGTGGAACTTGAGGCCATAGGTTAGCTAATCATAGCTTATTACGTAGTACACWTGATAACAGGGGAACTTTAACTTTACTCAGTCAGCTGAAGCACTTTATTTCGTAGTAGTAGGGGAAATACATTTTCATTTAGTTTTTATACAAGCCATGCATTAATAGACTTTACTTGTCTATCACATTTTCCAACAAGGAGATTATTTGTGTCCTGAATTTACACATACCTCTACTGATTTTTTCTACTTTCAATTTTTTTGTTGATTAGATTTTAGTTAACAGGAAAAAATCTTAAMATGCCAATGCTAAATTCAGAGAAGAACATGGGAAACATTTACCCGAAGTATCTTTACTAATTCGTGTTCAGTCTGCAAAAAAATCTATAATATATTTGCGCATTACAGCAACGACAACAAATTGCATCACAAGAATTAGCAGTTTGCGTTTTATTCTATCAACAAGAAAAAATTAAACTTGAATAGGTATGTTGATAAAAAATAAAATAAAAATATAACTAAAGAAGTTCCTGCGAATTGACCATGAAGTTTTGTAAAAGCAACTCCTATCAAAGAGAGCAGGAAGGCACTGAGTCTGAACCCAATTCAAAACATATMCAAGAAACAATGACAGTCTTTAACACGACCCACTAGTCTAGCTCATTATAGCATTTTTTAAACTTCCTTGAAGGCMCTGTTACACCTTTGAAACTTTTAGCTAAACCTTGAGTGCAAAGGCGTTGACAAGTTTCACAGGTGTGTTACACGGCGCAATTTGTTCCTTTACCTTTTTAGCGACACAAGTTTTGGTTACACGAGTAGGAAACAGTTGTACCTTTTTAAAACGTTCTGGCGAAAAAGGGGAAGAAGAAGAAGAAAAAAAAAAAAAACCATCAAAAAGCCTAAATTATCACCATTGCCTAATATGAGGGAAATACAAAAGAAATGCCACAATTTCCAGCAAAAAAAAGTATGATTTCTTTTAAATATTTTATACTAACCTTCCGACCAAGATAATTTTGAGGAGTGTCAGTTAATTTGTTTACGCTAACAATTTAGGCATTTTAGGCATCTACTTTTTTTGATACGTTCTCGTGACAAAAGTTTCACAAAGCCCAAATTGAGCCTTGTAAGACCTCCGTGAAATGTGTATTGCAAAGCCGTTCCGCACAAGTTTCACCTAAAAGTTTCAGCGTGTAACAGAGCCTTGACATATCCTTGTAGTGCTGTTGGATTACTCATCAGACACRCTTCCCCGTCCTCGTTTGACGGTGATTATTTCATTGTTATGTACTGTATACACTATTGTGACCATCATTTGGTTCTGGTAGGCATCTTGCAAAGGGACYTTGAAGACTACGTCCTTTTCTTTGGGAATTCTCAAGTATCCATGCACCCCACCCCCGCTATCTATATCAACCATGTTCCTCCTTGTGTCCTTGTCCCAGTAGATTCCTGGATCTGACACTTTACCGTAGCACTGTCGACAGGGYTGGGCCATTGGCTCTGTTGTCATAGTGATGAACTGAAATAAAACATCGTACCTAATGTATCCTTTTCAAAATTATCTTAAATGCAAAGGCTAACGTGAAAATACAAAAGAAATGTCATAAATTCCATCGCGAAAGAGTATGATTTTTWAAATTTTATGTTAACCTTCCATCCACGATAATTTCGAGGAAAAAAAAAACTCATAAAAGAATTAGATTTTAGTCCCTTTAATTACAAGTGGTCAGGCAAATTTTTYTCAGGCGTAATACTTTTCCTTGCCTGACCACTTTTAATTAATGGGACTAAAATCTAATTCTTTTATGAGTTATTTCTTTAACATGATACTTCGATATTACTAAATATACTACGAAMATTTTTATTCTAAAGAGAGTGGCACGCGGTTTGGAATGGAAAAAATATAATAMCCTAGTCCAACCAAGTTGTGGGTAATGAAAATCAATGCTGACAACGCAACATGTAGTTTGTCATGTAACTGGGATCAACGGTGTGTTGGTGAGTTCAAGTATCGATTTATTGTTTTTCTCTAAACCGTTAGARAGTGCCCGAAATAGCATTCAATTACATTGTTCGTATAAAGGTCATCCAATTTGTATGCTATTATCTTGTCATTACCCTATGTGACCAAGTCTGGACTTACAATGACCCTCGTTTTAATGAATTACCATTTTGAATTGTAGCGTACTATAACTCTAAAAAGTGGCTTGGGCAGGCCAAGCAGCTAAAATAGTTCATGTATCTATACTCTAACATGACTCCGTAATAATACTGGATAAAAACTGGAATTGCTTTTCAAAACAACCCAAATGCAAATGCAAAAAGTCTATCGAGAGAACAAAACTGATTAGTTGGCTAATTAGGATCCGAAATACTAATAGATTTTAAAGTAGCTTAATAAGACTTTCTACTACAAAGAGTTTTATATCGTTAAAACTCCTCCAAAAATTAACAATTTTAATCTTAGAACCATATGAGCGCGTTTTTTCGACATTCATTGCTAGAGTATAACTGAAGAGCATTCCTTCAAAAAGAATTTAACTGGAATTTAATTGTCAAAATGTTTCCAACCGATTTTTTTTCTTCAAATAAATGCCTTATTTCTGGCACTTACGGAACAAAGTAMTAAAGTACTGAAAAAACGAATTTGGTATGCATATATGTCCAATTGCTTATCACATATCCTATAATAAGAAGGTTTTCTCTCCGGGGTACGTGTTTGCAAAATAATTWGATAAGGCGCGATGCTTTTCCACAAACACGCGCTTTGCAAATATGCTTATGCATAGCAACCAATGGCTAAATGGTCCAATCTCAAATTTAAATCAGCAGACGGCTTACCTTGTTATCTGYAGGACCAGGCGAAAGTATTTTTTTGGGTGTGAGTTTTGCGGCGTCGATCTGAAGAATTGCCTTTCTGTTGCCACTACAAGTATTCAATAACTACCCGCGCAGCGTACGCCCTACGACGGATATACCGTGTCCTTCTTTAAGTGCTGTTGAATTAAAACCCTCAATGACACTTATTTATGGATGGATCTGGCAGATTATGTTCCTGAAATAGATATCTATACAATCAGTGATCTTCCATTGTAATGAATGATGACAAAAACGCACTAGATGGGATGCTTCGTGGAGCCATGCACCTATGTAAGATACTTGTATTTATTACCATTGTCCAACGAATGCACACAAGACGAACTGTTCTGAAAACTTTTTTTTTTTAAAAGAAAAAATCGGACCTAAACGTAGGGTGTAACAATCAATTTTTAAACTAATTATGTCCTACCCCAAATACTGTTCTAATAGCCGTCCACGCAGTTTTTGGTTAAGACCAAGCTCCTTTAATGAACACTGATTTAATCTGTTCTCGAGTGTCTTTAAAGGTCACTTATAAACTATTAATATAATACTTATATCACCTAAACGAGACTATAACCGTAGAAAAAGCCGCATACATCAAATAATCCCAATATAGAAACTTTGAGGAGCAGAGCGAATGTGCATGTGCRTACATTTATTAACTAATTTGAATACTGGTTTGAATCCCCGGGGGAGGGGGAGGTGGGGGAGATGGGAGGTGGGGAGATGGGGAAGTTGGGAGGTGTTGAGGTTGGGGAGGGGAGGGGAGGGGGGGTTAGTGTTCTTGCACTGGGTTATAATAGAGGTGTCCCGCTGGAGCCCCAAAACCCTGACCCTATATCTAAAACAGCGATATCTTGAAAATCCATGCCCTATTTAAAACAGATCGGTAAAAAGTGTACTCTTATCTAACACTCAAGAATAAATTCTATACCCTATTTAAATAACAGATGCTAATGATATTGACTGAACTACTGRCGGGGCGTGGGTGTACGAAGGGTGGATAGCGCTATCTGATGGYTACATCTTATTCCGTGGATAAATGTATTGAATAACAGCTTCGACTTATCCAATCGATAAGGGATTTATCACGGCACATACCAGTACACCAAATATATGGGAGTATCTCCTCCTCCCCTCCGGGGTTTGAATCAAGTTAAACAATCGCGTGCAGGTCGGCAATCCTTAAACATCGAGAAAGTCGACCTCATWTTTATTGGAAACTATTTGCTGAAAGCAATATTTCAAATTGAGACTTGTGATAAGTCTGCGATTTATGTTTAATCACGACAGCGTGAACTATGGGCAAGTTCTGCGATTGAGCTTAGTGGATGGGCAAAAAGAAAAACGCATAGCAATATGTGCCAGGAATCCTCCTCAGGGCTAACCCTGACATATTGCGTGCGCTTTGTGGCTTGGTTGTTCTGGCGASGCATTGTCATATAATAAAACGACTAGAAACCCTCACAAGCTTTCTCTTGTCTTTTAATTATATGGTCAGTATCGATCTTAGGCCCTGTTTACATGGAAGGAGGATTATCCTACGGGTAGGATGTTCCTGGCAGGCGAATCAACCATGCGTTCAGTTTACATGAGAAAAACACTTGCGAACTTTATCCCTGGTGCTAGGATCTTCCTATCTGCGARAAAGRAARATCCTACTSCTAGRAAGAYCMTWGTACCCRAAAGAAGCCTGCTGCCAATGTGCATGTAAACAGAAAGAAAGCAAYAAAYKTMTAGCYGRTAGGTTGATTCGCCTTCAAAGAAGATCCTACCCGTAGGATAATCCTCCTCCCATGTAAACAGGGCCTTAGTATTCCATAATATTACCGTTTTGTCAAAAATTGAAGTACGATTCGCTACTACATCGTTCTGTGTTAAAATCGATTTCCATAACCACGTCGTTACACAGGCTTACAATATATTTTAGGAAGATTTTACAGCTGTTCTTACAGAACTTGGATTTTCTACTGACTGCCTGAAGTTTTCGTTACCACGCATYTCAGCCCTTATGAACTCCATGGTGTTTTTCTCGGGGTGCAAAAYAATTATGAATAGTTTKGGYCCAAAAATACARCCTAGAAGACCATAGGAACTGAGAAGGAGAGTAGCTGCTGATAGGACAGCAACGTACCAWCCCTCCGCTGCATAATCTACAGGGTAATAGGTTATCCAGGATAAAAGGAAGATGTAAAGAGAAAAGCTWATGTGTTTGGCYTCGTTGAAATGAGCTGGAAGATTTCTTGCACGAAAAGCATAATAAATGCAGCACCCAGCCAACAATAGAAGATACACAAGCATAAGGCTATCAAGTATCTTACCAGGGGCACCTCTGAATGGCACACAAGTGATAAACACGTGACTTTTGTGGAAAATGCTCACGTGAGCGTATGGTGGATCCCAGAGAATCCACCAAGCGCCAAGTAATACTTCAATGCATATCATTACTARAAGTRCAATCACTTGTCGTTGGGTGCTGCAAATAAATGCCTTTACCCARKTTTTGAKYTKAGAKATATTAAATGMATGCACAATTTGCATTGTTTTYAGAAACAAAGCCGAACAACAAATGGTGTAAACCACATAKCGTAACGGCTTCAGGACMGAACACAAWYCAGATGAAGGTCTTACRATATAKARWAAAGTCATCCCAAAACACAAAGCTATTCCGWGGAGGAGAACAAGAGTACACACTTTGTTTAAAGCCTTTACCATGGGAGTGTCACGAAAATAGAACAGGATACCAAACACACACACATCAATAGCAAACCCTAGAATACTTATTATAGTGAGTATGATTGAAACTATGTCTGACCAGTCAATGTTATTTATAGGAAGGGGTATGCATCGCGTCTGTTCAAAGTTGGACATTTGTGTTTTACTACAGGTTGTACAACTCAGTGCTCCGTTTGTTTCTGAAACACTTCCATCGATACATGGTAAACATTTCCAGCAACATTCTGTAGTAGGTACTTTCCATTGCCCTGGCTTGCATTCATCTATACATGTGGAGGATGGAATTTTCTCACCGTCTCTATCATTCTCCCAAAATGTCAATGTGTTAGTCATCTTTAAGGGTCTCTTTCTGTTTTTGTTCCAAGATCCAATGACATTCTTAGTGATCATTTCGCYACCATTTCCTTTAGATGTGTTAAAATACACGATGTCATAAATAGCTCCTACTGGATCGCCTCTTGAATCGAACTGTACTTTTCCAGTCTCGCCTTCGAATTCGACTCTTTTTAGGTATTCAATYAATTTACCAGGTTCTGACRTGCCTTCGTTATCTGGACATGAATCTTTRTCCATGGAAGCTGAACCTCTCACTCTTCTACATCTGATCATTTGGTCAAGTGCATAAGCAACACTATARATTGCATCGATGACATAAATATTGTAATCATCAGCAACTATTTGTAGTAATTGATCATGTAGAAGGCTGTTACTGCAAGCATTGTTTGACCCTTGGGAGGAARGATTTGTTAAAAYCACAGATTTCCAGAACTGTTCCCTCAAATAATTGTCTTGACCTTCAGAGTGGTTGCACAGTATTCTATTTATAAGGTATTGATGAAACTKTTYAGGAGTTTTACTTCGTACTATGGTTCCTATATGAATCCCAGTAGATGAAATATTGGGGATTGATGACAAAAATTTTGGACTTTTCACTGCAAACGCTTCACTGAAAATCCAGACACGGTTTTCCAAGCCTTTTTTTACAGCAACCTTCAGTATTTCTCTTCCATACAGAGAATGACTCCAGATAACTATAACTTTAACAGTTTTACGTAGTATGAGGGAAGATAAAATCATGTTGAGATTGTTGTTGTAGTTCGATAAGGGAATGTAACCAAACAGATCGATACAGAAGGTTTTACGTTGGATGGATTCTCGCTGCAGTGCTAACACTCCTTGACGACCGTAGGAATCATCCACTGCTACTGCTGCTACGTATCTGGAAAATGAATGTAATTTGACAAACTTCCATGGGTTTTGCCGTGTKGTACTGGCCCTCYTATTTACCACGATATGACGTCACGAGGCGTAACGGAGTCGACTAACTATTCACTAATTTTGAAATGTTAAAGTCATATCGTGGTAAATAAGATAACTCGCCACAAAAAGCTACAAAATAATAGCCAAAGGTTTTGAAAGAAAAAAAAACCAGTTTCAAGCACGCGCGGACTACGTACGCAAGCGATTCGTAATGTTTTAAAGTGTCATCTTATTTACCACGGTTCTCGACCAATCAAAAAGCGATAAAGTTTACATTTGTGGTGAAAACTTTTTTCGTCTTTCGAAGAGCTAGAAACTAGCTAAACTAGATCTAAAAACTAAGAAGGGGTTTCGAAAATGAAACTTGATTTTTCACMAAGAGAGCTTTCTTGTAAAGTCTCTTCTTCTTTTCGATGGTTTTAGTTTAGGTTTTTCGGTTAATTTCCCTAGACCTCAACTAAACATACGCCCTGTCTGATGCACAGACTGACTAGCACATATGCAACGGTTTTTTTATTCGAAAAGAAGTGACGCAATAGAAAACCCAGCAACTCAACGCAAGATTCATGATAGTTATTTCACAAAGAGGTTTTGCCAGCGTAAGTGTGTGAAATGAAGACAAGCTCAATGTGAAGGTGAGGCCACTCGACATTTTTAATAAATATGGACCTCTCAGTTGGTGAAGAACACACTTATGTATGTTATATTTACCATAAAATTAAAAATATGCAAAGTTTCTTTTTACGGAAAAAAACATGGCCACCTTACCTCCAACCAAAATGGTCTATGATGTCTGCAACTGCCTTGGCCTGGTTAGCATCTGATGGAACAGTCCGAAAGAAGCTGTCATACATTGGTGAACTCAGATCCTCACTTGTTGCAGCGGATTCAACGAAAGGTATTCGGACAGCCTGCAAGAAACTAGCCAATGGGATGGCAACTTGGGAACTTAGTGYTCCGACGATGGCAATTACTGGATAAGTTGAACTGTAGTTTTTTCTTGGTAATTCTTTAWYKRCTGAAGTATCGTTGACGTCGCAAAGATATTTGTTACTCGATACGCACGTTACAGCTTTGCAGTTCATGGTAGATGCTGTAGCAAACTGGTACGCGTGCCTTGCTGTGTGTATTGCGCTATCACATGTCTCACGTATGTCGTAGCCTAAAGTTAGATTAGGAAGAAGGACCTTATCTCTATTAATTTCTTCTATTGCATAGATCATCGCTTCCCACTTCCCTAGACTCGAAGGTTTAAACCTCTGACACCTGCAAAGTAAATAAGAATCATAGTCTATTTCCCCCCCGATTTTGCATGAATGAACACGTTATATGAGATATTTACAACACAAGAGAATACGAAGCGTAGGCATACAAATGAAAAGGTTTTGCTTTCAAATTTTTCGGCGGTTTTTTTCCCTTTACTTTTCTATTGCCGCGTACTCGCGTTCTAGACTTTTTTCAAACGCAAATAATGTAATTATTGATATTAATTACCAAGACGATTTGAGTATTAGCCCGTTCCGGGGTTGAAAAAAATAAAACTGGGACTGGTTGGCATTGCAGTGCATCGTGGGACCTTATTAGGGAACGAAATAAAAACCTGATTAATAGATTAAATCATGCGGAAAAATGACAATAAAAGTGCGAAACAGAC